TGGTCACTCAACGCCGATCTCAGAAAACTCGCTGTCAACATGGTACCTTTCCCACGTCTTCATTTCTTTATGCCAGGATTTGCTCCTCTCACCTCTCGAGGTTCCCAGCAATACCGAGCTCTCACTGTACCCGAACTCACCCAACAGATGTTCGATGCCAAGAACATGATGGCTGCCTGTGATCCTCGTCATGGTCGTTATCTGACAGTAGCTACCATGTTCAGAGGTCGTATGTCCATGAAGGAGGTAGACGAACAGATGTTGAACGTCCAGAATAAGAACAGCAGCTACTTTGTTGAATGGATTCCCAACAATGTTAAAACTGCTGTTTGTGACATTCCACCAAGAGGTCTGAAGATGTCGGGAACATTTATTGGTAATACGACAGCCATTCAGGAACTGTTTAAGAGAATCTCTGAACAGTTTACAGCTATGTTCAGAAGAAAGGCGTTCCTGCATTGGTATACTGGTGAAGGTATGGATGAGATGGAATTTACTGAAGCTGAATCCAACATGAATGATCTGGTATCTGAATATCAACAGTACCAGGATGCTACAGCTGAAGAGGAGGGAGAATTTGATGAAGAAGAAGGGGAGCAAGATGAAGCTTAAACAAAACGCAATATTTATATTATCAATCATTAAAATTGTTATTTCAAAACTTAATTTGAATATTTGCTCCATAAAATGAATTTTACTTTACATTCATATCCTACTGCTCAAGATTTTAGTTCGGTATGGAACACATTTAGCAGGACATCATCAGCTAGTTCAATTTGAGCTCCACCATCTACTTACTGTAGTAATCAACTAGAACAACAGCTGTGGCGTATACCAAGGCTCCACTCCCCTCTCCCTCTCGGGCCATTAAAAATGAAAAAATCGTTCAACTTCCATTACCAAAACCGTTGGATGTATTCCTAGATTCCTCATAAATGTACCAGCCTACATTTATTTTTCAAAAAATTTCTTAGTGAAAGATATTTGTCCAGATTATCTTAACAATTATTTTCCTCTTAAATCCAATATTTCATCAACAAATCTCCATCTTCGTTTTGAATCGTATCAAAAATTATATTTGCCTATATGTAAACTTCGTGCCATGACAAGGGCTTTTAAATATACAGCAAGTTTACTATGGAACCCATCACCTCTCACTAAATTAAAGATCATCGTCATTATTTCATATGTTTAAAGACAAAATTATAGTACTTTATTCCATGTAATTGTTATTGTCTGTTTAATTAACATTATCTGTTGATATATAATATATTTGTTTTATTCCCGACGTTTTATTACCATTATCTGTTTATATATATATATATATATATATATATATATATATATATTAGTTCGAAACATATGCCTCTATTGCAGCCTCTGATAGATATTTTAACAGTTATCGACTGGAGTAGACCAAATCAGTCGACAACTTTCAAAATAGCTATCAGAAGCTGGAATAGAGACAAATGTTTCGGTCTATTTGTATATATATGTTTCACTGTTGAAAGACTATTGTTTGCCTTTTTTTATTAGTTTATTTTACTTTATACCTTTAAAACAGTCTATGTATATATTGTGTATAATGTTCCATTGACTCCAAGCAAAATGTGGTTGAAAATTGATGACTAATAAAATGTCCAATAAAGTTATAAAGTTTCACTAGCAAAGAACAAATATAGTTTTGATATATTGTTAAGAGTGTTGTCCTCGTTGTGAAATGTCAGGGCTCACTTCTATTGTAAGGAAATGTTTCATGGTTTTTTAGTCACTCTTCACGTCAACAACGCACACGAATCGTTTCAAAACTTTGAGTCTGGTGATCATACGGCGACGTGACAGGAGTAGCGTTTCAACGTGGAGTGAGTTTGTCTGTTCACCGTATTCTTAATGTGGTGAAATTAGAAAATGTAATGAAAGTATGGAAGAAAAGGATTATTGGCTGTATATTCCCGCTTACCAAACTCGAATTAAGGTGTTCTGTAAATGGGGTGATGGTGGATACGTCAGCCTTCAACATCTGAACATGGCGTCCTTATTGGAATACCAGAGAACATGAACAGACTGTTCAATGAGTCCATTAGATAATCCCGAGATCAAAGGGGTGGGAAACACAGAATTTCAAAAATTAAAACTGACGATACACAGTTGTTCTAAGAACAATATTAATGCACATTTCTTCACAAAATAGTTCTCTAAATCGCCAACCTTATGGTACTGCCAAAGATTGTTAAAGATAATGGTTGTGGTGTTTTGGGAAAATTTGAAATCGGCAAGTTTCCAGACTCTTTGACGTGAAAAACCGTCGGAGCAACAGCAGTCATTGGAAATATAACCCGGTCTATGGGTGGTCACGTGATAACAGGATTATGTGGGGGAGATTGTGGTGGATGCGAAATCGATCAAACTGCCGGAAATAGAACTTGTCTGGACATTGATAACAACGTTATGCCACCGTTCGAATCAGCAGAACTACCACTATCATTTGTATAAGTATGTAATACCCAGAGCTTGGTGTTTCCTGAAGTTACCAGATAAGAAAACGAGAAGCTGTCCGAAAATTTGTTTGAATTATAGATATTGTTACCCAGAAGCCAAAATAAAGTGTTGTGGAAATTATATGAATTATGCGACATGCGATGCGGGATCATAGATACAGTGGAAAATAGAAGAAGTGAATACTATAGCATTCAAGACGCCCGGAATTTGTTCTCCGGAAACGTATCTCGTGCATAAGCTTCTTCTGTTTTACACTTTATCGACACTATATCCGTCTTTAAAGTCGAAGTCGCAAGAAAGGGACATTTTTTGCTCTCAAATCTCGAGAAATGTGCCATTTAACGTATCTGAAAGTTTTGACTAAATAATTCCAGCCGTTGATTTTTAAACGCCAAAAATATTTAAAAACATTACGTAAGGTTTTTAAGTTGGTTATGCTTTTTGGAAGCTGTTTGAAAACTACTGTACGGATTTAAGTTAAATAAAAGCCGAATTGTATAGAAATATGTATCCTACGTTTTCTAAAGATTTCAACTAATAATATCGACCGATTATAAGACCCAACACCAAAACAAGGGCAAACTGCTTAATTAACAATAAATACTCCCCGTTTTAATCAACCCTTATATAACAATACATTTCAATCAAGTAGATACATAGATATAAATAGTATTCTTTAGAAATATTTTCAGGTTGTTAAGGACGTTTTTAGTTTTAATGATTCAGTCTTAATGGATTTCAAGTACTAATATTATAAAGGTTAACAAGTATATATTGTTAAGAATTCTAATTGTGAGTTATAACTGTTAATTAATGGATAAGGTTATCATAGTCGCTAGGGATAAAAACTTCAGGATCTCTATTGATTGATGGATTATTTCTTCTAATTTGGATGGCTTCAATGATTTTTCTTTCTTTTTTATTGTTCTTATTGATAGCTAATGTTATGGTTTCATCCCAATAAGTTTGTGGCCTGTAGCTTTTATGTGGTCTTTGATTGCTGATTGGTTATTAGCTGTATTTGATTGATGTTCTTTGATTCTTTTTTGCAGTGGTCTTTTCGTTTCAACATGTAAAAATTCCCACAAGATACACACATCCTTTGGGATCAGCTTTATTTGTTAGTAGTAGTTTCCCATTAGCATTCGTGATGTCTTTTGGCCTTTGGCCAGTAAAAAGGGTTCAATCCCAGCTTGTTTCAGCAATCTTTTAATCTTATGAGTTCCCATTAAGTGGTATGTTCACTCTATCAGGTGGGTGTTCCGGCTTAGCTATTGGTTTGGCTGTTTTGGGTTCCAAGGCTTTGGCAATTGTTTGGTTGACGCGGTGTTCTGGTTATTGGTTTATGTTTGTAATTACATCTTTTAGGTGGTCGATTTTTAGTATTGAAAACATTTTACTAAAAAGCGGAATACCCCTTTAACCACAAGTATTCATAATAACATCATGATATCATTTCCTTTGAACTTTTCGTTGTATAAACGATTGGGGGTGCTTAGGTGTGCTATAAGTTCTAGGTTTAAATGTTGATTATATCACGATTTACTCTGTAAATGTATTGAGAGGGGAGTGACTGGACGGATAATTACTGACAGTATTAGCCCCACCCTTAGCACCAATCGCAACTCCTAAGCAATAAACTCACAATTGAATTGATATATTACTGCATTGATAAATCACGATGGAAACTAGTCAGACAATAGATAGATTTATAATTAGTGGTTACAAGTAGATAATGTAACAGACATCAATGTAATTAGTAAATATAAATAATTTATTCAGTAATTAAATTTCAATTGAGTTTAATATTCTTCTCCCTCTTCTTCTCCTTCACCTTCAACAGAATCAACTCCAACTTCTTCATAATCTTTCTCTAGAGCAGCTAAATCTTCTCTAGCTTCAGAGAATTCACCTTCTTCCATACCTTCACCAACATACCAATGAACAAAAGCTCTCTTAGCTCAAGACGAGCCCAAGCTTCAGCAATAGCAGTCGTGTTACTCAACATACAAACAGCTCTCTGGACCTTGGCTAAATCACCTCCTGGTACAACAGTTGGTGGTTGGTAGTTGATACCGACTTTGAAACCAGTTGGACACCAGTCAACAAATTGGATAGTTCTCTTGGTTTTAATGGTTGCAATAGCAACGTAGACATCCTTGGGAACAACATCACCTCGGTACAACATACAGCAAGCCATATATTTACCATGACGAGGATCACATTTAACCATCTGATTGGCTGGCTCGAAACAAGCATTGGTGATTTCAGCTACAGAAAGTTGTTCATGGTAGGCTTTCTCAGCAGATATGACTGGAGCATAGGTAGCCAATGGGAAATGGATACGTGGGTAAGGTACCAAGTTGGTCTGGAACTCAGTAAGATCGACGTTCAAAGCACCATCAAATCGAAGTGAAGCAGTGATGGAGCTAACGATTTGTCCAATCAACCGGTTCAAGTTGGTGTAGGTTGGTCTCTCAATATCAAGATTTCGTCGGCAAATATCGTAGATAGCCTCGTTGTCCACCATGAAGGCACAATCGGAATGTTCCAGTGTAGTATGGGTTGTAAGGATGGAGTTGTATGGTTCTACTACAGCAGTTGATACTTGTGGAGCAGGATAAACAGCAAACTCCAGCTTAGATTTCTTGCCGTAATCGACGCTCAATCTTTCCATCAACAAGGAAGAGAAACCAGATCCAGTTCCCCCACCAAAGCTGTGGAAGATTAGGAATCCTTGAAGACCAGTACATTGATCAGCCAGCTTCCTCGTTCTGTCAAGAACCAAATCAATGATCTCTTTGCCCACTGTGTAGTGACCTCGAGCGTAGTTATTAGCAGCATCTTCTTTACCAGTGATAAGTTGTTCAGGATGGAAGAGTTGGCGGTAAGTACCAGTTCGGACTTCATCTACAACTGTTGGTTCCAGATCAACAAATACAGCTCTTGGAACATGTTTACCAGCTCCAGTCTCACTGAAGAAAGTGTTGAAGGAATCATCTCCACCTCCAATAGTTTTATCAGAAGGCATCTGGCCATCAGGCTGGATACCATGTTCTAAACAGTACAACTCCCAACAGGCATTGCCCATTTGGACACCAGCTTGACCAACATGGATAGAGATACACTCACGCTGAAACAAAAGAAGATTATATGGTTGATATTCCAGTCAATGAGGACGGGAATTAAGTATATCAATAAGCTTATAATATCGGATGGCCAAGGAAATACTTTCATTTCTTTTATTCATACAAATTGATAATGGGAAACAGATAACCAGTCAATGAAAACATACTTTCCACTTATTAATTAAAATTCTTTAATGATAAAGATACCCCTAAGGAGAGACTAACTAAAGTCTTAGAGATCACATTAAATAACGGAACAAAATACATGTTGTATTCTACTAATCTTAAGTATTTTATTGTTCCGCAAAATAGTAAAGATACGCTTACTAACATTGTGCTACCCCTGAGTTAAAAAGTAAACTGAAAAAGGTTCACTTACCATATTGAAGGTTGATAGAAGTTGAAACTAAAAGAAGTTAAAATTGACGAAGGTTGAGAGACGGGAACCTTGGAGGAAGAGTTGAAACTAACCAAGGCAAGATATTACCGCTGAATGTAGAGTTGGTGATTTTAACTTGTAACTTATACCTGAAACAAGAGATCTGTTGTTTATTTGTTGTTAGATACTGTTGGTGTACTCTTAATCAGCTATTAGCTCATTTGTCTTTATTTGTTCAGTAATCCTGGCAATTATTACATAGAAATCATTATAACAATATCTATTATCTATTATCGATCTGATTGGATTATCGAATAAGATTATAATGGATTGTCTAATTAAATCATAGTTATATGGTTATAGAGTTAAATCAGATGATTTTATCCCATAAGTTAGACATCCTAATTGTTAGACAAATTTATCTTGGCCAAGATGGAATATACCTCCAGGTGAATGGATTAGTCCTAAGGATTAGAATAAGGACTAAGAACCCACAATACGGTTGATCGAAATCATGGATACCCGAAACGAGACATGGCTTTATTGAAATATATTGACCAATAGAAAACTTGAGCTACAGGCTTGACATTCCAAAACGAAGACGAGATTCTTAATAATATATCAAGACTATGTTTGTTCTTTGCCAGTGAAATATTTATATTATCCAGTCAGACTGAAGCTGGTAAACATGTTCCAAGAGTTTTATTTGTCGATCTGGAACCAACAGTTGTAGATGAAGTGATAGTATCACTGATACACAAAAAACAAACTATTACATTTCTCAAATTAACATTTGTCTGTTGCATACCCACCCCCACCCCCCTTTTATTGAAATTCTTATCAACAAATCATACCAGTGTTTATATTGAAAAACTACGGTTTAATTATGAATGCTAACATTTAAGACGAAAATATAGAAATCTAATGTAGAACATAAGTCATACAAGACCAACAATACAAACAGTTTTGAACAAAAATCTTAAGATTAAAAAAAATAAGAAAATTATATTAGATATTTACACTCAATAGGCTCAAAGAATATTGGAAAATTTAAAATGGTACTTGTCAATCATAGACACATTTTATTTGATTACATAAGAAATAAACTCGGTTAAAAAATGCAATATTGAAAAGGAGATCTGTCAAATGTTTATATCATCTTTTTAAAGTGAGAGGTGCACTATCTTTTTGACCAACCATACTTTATTCTCAGAAACGAGAATTTTTAAGCGCAGCCAATCAATAATAGTGTTAATAGCTCACCATCGACATTTGAACCTTCAAATCCACGTGTGTCTAGAATTATCCGCGTTTCGAGACACTGCCATATATAGAAGACATCTATAGAAATAGGAAAATGAATTCCTAGTTTGAGATAGTTTTGAATGAATTATACGATATTCGTACATTTCAGGTACTTCTATACACTATTTACATATTTTCAAGACTGAAATCAACTCCCTTGTCCCTTTAAAGCTGCTTTGGTTTGTTTGTAAGATCAGACTATGTCTGAGGTAAGAACTTGTTACCAACAAGCATGGAGCTTAATATGCACTCAACTGTTAATAATGTTGTTAGAATCTGTCTCATTATTGAGAGGGTTAACTAGTGGCAGGACATCAATCAGATTGATTTTAAGATTTAAATCTGATTGGATTAAAGAATTAGTCGATGTCCGAAAGTCAATGTTGTTGATAAGGTTATTACAATTTTCATGGTAACTGAAAACCTAGTCTGATATAAAACACTGACAAATCTGAACAAAATCATTCTACTTTCAACTACACTTCTAGACTCTAGTCAGTTCTCACAACCATCAACATGAGAGAAATCGTTCATATGCAAACTGGTCAATGTGGTAATCAGATCGGAGCTAAGGTAAGTAACTCGTTTTATATTCTGATAGATTATCTTGTTCAGTGTGAAGACTTCAGTCCATAAAAGAACAGTTTTGTTAAACATTCTGTTCAGGGGCATATCTAGAAAATGCACGAGGAGGAGTCGAAAAATGAGAGGTTGTCAGAGGCTCCCAGAAGCCCACGGATTTCAAATGGTCTACATTTGACCTTTCACAGGGCCTCCCTCAACTACTCTTTCTTCTGTCCACGAATTCTTACTTTATTTTGTAAAAATCAGTTGTCTTTTCTTTCAGTTCTGGGAAGTGATCTCTGATGAACATGGTATTGACCCAACTGGAACTTACCACGGTGATTCTGATCTTCAGTTGGAGAGAATCAACGTTTATTATAATGAAGCTACCGGTGGTAAATATGTACCCAGAGCTGTTCTCGTCGACTTGGAACCTGGTACCATGGATTCTGTAAGATCGGGGCCCTTTGGTCAGATCTTCCGTCCAGATAACTTTGTCTTCGGACAATCTGGTGCCGGTAATAACTGGGCTAAAGGTCATTACACAGAAGGTGCAGAATTGGTAGATTCAGTTCTTGATGTTGTCCGTAAAGAAGCTGAAAGTTGTGATTGTCTACAAGGATTCCAGTTGACCCATTCTCTGGGTGGTGGAACTGGTTCTGGTATGGGAACTCTCCTCATCAGTAAAATCCGTGAAGAATATCCAGATAGAATTATGAACACCTTCTCTGTTTGTCCTTCACCAAAGGTAAGATATTATTAGAACTAAAGATCCTTATGTTCTCGTGATAGATATTTACGTCTTACTGGTGTGTAATCTTTTAGAGTTCATACAGCTAAAATGATATATAGAGTGCCCATATTGACAGTTTTAGGAAGGACGTTAGCGCCATTCTACCTACTTACGGTTGATTCCCATCAATAACAGGATCATGTTGTCCTACATCTTGTCACATATCAAAAGTAAATCTACCATTTTCTTATAATTTCAGGTATCTGATACTGTTGTGGAACCTTACAACGCCACCCTCTCAGTTCATCAACTGGTAGAAAATACAGACGAGACTTACTGTATTGATAATGAGGCTCTATATGATATCTGTTTCCGTACCCTCAAACTGACCACACCCACTTACGGTGACCTAAACCATCTGGTATCAGCCACAATGTCTGGAGTTACCACCTGTCTCCGATTCCCTGGTCAACTCAACGCCGATCTCAGAAAACTCGCTGTCAACATGGTACCTTTCCCACGTCTTCATTTCTTTATGCCAGGATTTGCTCCTCTCACCTCTCGAGGTTCCCAGCAATACCGAGCTCTGACTGTACCCGAACTCACCCAACAGATGTTCGATGCCAAGAACATGATGGCTGCCTGTGATCCTCGTCATGGTCGTTATCTGACAGTAGCTGCCATGTTCAGAGGTCGTATGTCCATGAAAGAGGTAGACGAACAGATGTTGAATGTTCAGAATAAGAACAGCAGCTACTTTGTTGAGTGGATTCCAAACAATGTTAAAACTGCTGTTTGTGACATTCCACCAAGAGGTCTGAAGATGTCTGGAACATTTATTGGTAATACGACAGCCATTCAGGAACTATTTAAGAGAATCTCTGAACAGTTTACAGCTATGTTCAGAAGAAAGGCTTTCCTTCATTGGTATACTGGTGAAGGTATGGATGAAATGGAATTTACTGAAGCTGAATCCAACATGAATGATCTGGTATCTGAATATCAACAGTACCAGGATGCTACAGCTGAAGAGGAGGGAGAATTTGATGAAGAAGAAGGGGAACAAGATGAAGCTTAAACAAAACGTAAAATTTAATTTATGTATACAAACAGTATATCTATATATTTATTAAACCTGTTATTTCAAAACTTATTGTTGATATTTTCTTAGTACATGGAGCTTTGCGTTCTGCTCTCAGTACATCAAAAGACTTTGAAAAAATCCGATTCATATCTTACTGTTAGAGAGTTTGGCGAACTGCAAAATGACCGCCATATTTGTTATAAAAGGACCAACGCGAAGTTATTCGCTTATACATAATAAGTCAGACAGAGACTTATTCGGATTTATTAAACTAAATTTCAAGTTATTTGGGATTTTTTTTTCTTTTGAATCTATTGCAATTAACCATTTACAAAACAAACGTAAATTTATGCATTCACTTTGAAGACTTTCTCAATATATGACTGCTGTTCACGATTTCAGTTTGGTTTGGAACAAATTTAGCCGGATATCATCAACTAGTTCAATGTGAGCCAATGTACCTCCAATTGTTCTCCCACTTTATTTCTCGTATAATTAAAAATATTATTTTTATAAGTTTTTGCAGCAAAATATGTGTCAGAATGCATCAAATCAATTCTGTTTTTCAAAAATAATTCATTGGAGAACTTTCTAAAACGATTTATGGAAGGATAGCGCCTATACACTCCACCGAACTGTCGGGTTTTGTCGGACAGTCAGCTGGTGTTGAGACATAAAAGTTTTACCCTGTTTTGTGGAAATTTTCCGCACCCCGAAGATTTATTTGAATCGGACCCGTCAGCGGTTCCAGCAAAGTTTTTTTTTCTCAAAAAAAAAAAAAAAAGATCTTTCGCCGGCCATTTAAAGGTATGTGCGCAGCCAAAAGTGCAAGGGTCACAGAGTCGTGAAATACTTACAAGACGAAAGTTTTAGTGATGCCCAACACTAATTTACAGTCATCGTAAGGGTGATTCAATATTATGTTAGAAAAAAAACACGTCTTCTGAGGTTTGGAAAATAAAAATTTTGTGACTCTACTCCAGTTGATAAATATAAATATCTATCAGAGGCTGGAATGAAGGCAGATGTTTCGGACTAATATGTTCCATTGACTTCAAGCAAGATTTGGTTAAATTGGTGATCAAAAAAATTATAAGTAGTGTAATATTATAAAGATAAGAAAGTTTTTTAAGCCTCTTTCCTGGTATTAGTACTAATCTATATGGTAGGTAGATGACAAGTTAACGTTCGTTTCCAGCGAACTAGGTAGTTGTTGGTAGTCGTAGTAGTTGGTAGTAGGATTGGTTCAAATTGGATGATTCTGTGTTGTTGATTTGGTTGTTGATTCTTCGTTAGATCCGGTCGGGTCGAATGACATGGCGGTGAAACTCGGCCCTGGATGGTGTGGCGTGAGTAACTCGACCTCCTTCATTCTTCCAAATTCGTTCTGATCATGGTATTTCTTGTTGATTGGTAGTAGAATGGTAGTCGTTGGTATTAGTACTAATCTATATCATTTTGACCGGCTCATACCTCACTGCTATTCAAAATTACGATATCTATAAAAAGGCTTTTAAGGAAATTGTTCATGAAGGTTTTTAATGAATTTGCCAGCCTATAAATAAAGTGAAAAAAGTAGAAACAACAAGAATATTAAGAGGAATTAAGAGATAAAGGGATGGAATAGCCAAATGACCAAGTTTACCACAGATCTCTATTATTGCTGTCCATATTACTTTTCAGAAAAAAAAACACCCAGAAAGTCTAGTTGATAAACCCAAACGATAAGTAGCATCAGGTGTCCTGGAAGACAGAGCTTGTCATACCTAGCACTCGATACCTGCCACAATATTTACAATATATTGAAGATCCAATTGCTTGAAGAGTCTATGTGAATTTAGTGAATTAATGAAGTCAATATCACTCAGGAGATCAGCAAGCTGGGTTTTTCCGTGTAGAAGAAAATAGTTCCAAGATAATACTA